ATCAATCTTTATGCGTTCCATTTCCTTTTTGACAACTTCCAATTTTCCTAGATTCATACTTCGTACGTTCCATGTTCTGATGATTAATGGATGTCTGCAGCTGTTTCTCTTCAATTTGAGTTGTGCCACATCAGCAAATGGAAGTCTCAAAAGCTTTACTTTATCCATAGGAGTAAGGCTGTGTTTACTCAGATGATGCAGCTCTTTCCCAGTCCTTTTTTGAGAGCCTTCTAACCTAACTGGACTATTCATAAAATTGCGTGGTAATGTATCAAATAGTGTTTCTTTGCTCTTCATAAGGTTTTTCCTGGTCAATTCTTTGAGAAGTGGATGGCCTCTTCCTTCTTCCTCATCTGTTTCAGTCTGTAAGCTGGGCTGATACCTGTGCACTGCTGGGTTTGAAACACAGTGGCTCAGCCCCAAAACTCACATCAACATGTCACCATGGTAGGACAAACTGACAGACAAGTTTGTCTCCCGTTCTTCTGGTAGCCCATGGTATTTTCTGTGCTCTTTGCCAACACCACAATTCAAAGGCACCAGTTCTTCTTCAATCTTCCTTATTCATTGCTCAGCTTCATATCCATATAAGGCTATTAAAAATGCCATGGCTTGGGTTGGGCACACCTTAATCTTCCACGTGATATTTTTGCTCTTCAACACTTTATAGATGTCCTTTGTAACAGATTTGCTAGTGTAATACAGCATCTGATTTCTTGACTGCTGCTTCCATGGATGTGGATTGTGGATCCAAATAAAATGAAATCTTTTGACATCTTCAATCTTTTCTCCATTTATCATAATGCTGCTTATTGGTCCAGTTGTGAGGATTTTTGTTTTCTGTATGTTGAGGTATAATCCATACTGAAGACTGTAGTCTTTGTCTTCATCAGTAAGTGCTTCAAGTCATTTTCACTTTCAGCAAGCAAGGTTATGTCATCTGCACATCTCAGGTTGTTAATTGTTCTTCCTCCAATCTTGATGCCATGTTCTTCTTCATATAGTCCAGCTTCACTGATTACTCACTCAGCAGATTGAATAAGTGTGGTGAAAGGATACAACCTTGATATACACCCTTCCTGATTTTAAACCATGCAGTATCCCCTTGTTCTTTTCAAATGACAGCCTCTTGGTCTATGTACATGTTCCTCATGAGAACAATTAAGTGTTCTGAAATTCCCATTCTTCTCAGTGTTATCCATAATTTGTTATGATCTACACAATCAAATGCTTTTGCATAGTCAATAAAACACAGGCAGACATCTTTCTGATATTCTTTGCTTTCAGACAAGATCCATCTAACATCAGCAATGATATTCCTCATTCCACATCCTTTTCTGAATTCAGGTTGCATTTCTGGAAGTTCCCTATCAGTATACTGCTGCAGCCATTTTTGAATTGTCTTTAGCAAGATTTTACTTGCGTGTGATATTAACAATATTGTTAGATAATTTCCATATTCTGTTGGATCACCTTTTTTTGGAATGGGCACAAATATGGATCTCTTCCAGTCAATTGGCCAGGTAGATGTCTTCCAAATTTCTTGGCATAAACTAGTAAGCACCTCCAGCCCATAGAATCCTTCAATATGCAATTCAAGGCTTGAATTTTTTCTTCAGTTTTTTCAGTTGAGAAGTGCCAAGCATGTTCTTGCCTTTTACTTTTCTAATTCCGGGTCTTTGCATATTTTATAATGCTTTATTTTGTTTTCCTTAGCTGCCCTTTGAAATCTTCTGTTCAACTCTTTTCCTTCATCATTTCTTCCTTTTGCATTAGCTACTTTCCACTCACGAGCAAGTTTCAGAGTCTCTTCTGACATCCATTTTTCTTCCCTTCCTGCCTTTGTAATGACCATTTGCTTTCTTCATGTGTGATGTTCTTTATGTCATCCCACAACTCATCTGGTCTGCAGTCATTGGTGCATCAAAACTATTTTTCAGATGGTCAGTAAATTCAGGTGGTATATACTTAATTATTAAAAAAAAAAAGCCAACCAAATTCACTGCTGTAAAGTCAGATCCAACTCATGGTGACCCCTTCTTGGGTTTCTGAGGCAGTATAACTACAGAAGTAGATTGCCCAAACATCCTTCCAAGTAATTATTATTGAGAGGTCATATTTTGGCTCTTGTAGACTTGTTTTAATTTTCTTCAGCTTCAACTAGAACTTGTATATGAGCAATTGGTGGTCTGTTCCACAATCAGTTCCTGGTCTTGTTCTAATGATATTGAGCTTCTCTCTCACCTCTTTCCACAGCTATAGTTTATTTGATTACTGTATATTCCATCTGGTGAGATCCACGTGTACAGTAACCATTTATGTTGTTGAAAATAAATATTTGCAATGAGTAAGTTGTTGGTCTTGCAAAATCATATGATCTCCAGTGTCATTTTGATCACCAAGGCCATGTTTTCAAACTACCAGTGCTTCTTGTTTCCTTCCAACTTTTATATTCTAATCACCAGTAATTATCAATACATCTTGATTGCATGTTTGGTCAGTTTCAGATTACAGAAGCTGGTAAAAATCTCCAATTTTTTCATAATATAGAAATATATTCTTTATAATATAGAAAATGAATACTAGGTAATGATAAATGAAAACTGCCCTTTACCTACATAATTCCTATTCTAGCCCAAAAACAATTTAAGATTTTTTTTTTTTAAGGATGGAAGAAAACATAATAGATTTGCCCTTGATTATTTTGCAAGACATACATTCCATTCTGAGCAATTGGTTTACTGTTCGTGCTTGAATTTCTTATTAGTTGAGGCTATTATGAATAAGTCACCAAATCAGAATACCTTGGAAAGGTTGATAAGGTTTGAATCTTTCTTCTGAGCAGAGGTTTGAACCCTGTCCTAAGAATCTGCATTTCTACCCCTGATACATACTGAATCTACATTTTACATATTCATAAGAATCACCTGGGGATCTATAAGAATTACCGGGGGCTCTTGTTAAAATGTAGATTCTGATTCAGTGTATCTGGGACGGAAATGCAAATTCTCAGCAGAGGGTTGAACTGGAATAAACCAGTTTGAAGCCCTGCTTCTGAGACTTAAACCTAAAAATTGTTGTTGTTGTTGTTGTTATGTGCCATCGAGTCGGACCCGACTCATAGCGACCCCACCTTGGGTTTCCGAGGCAGTATCACTATGGAAGTAGTTTGCCTAATTGGGTTCAGCTATATCACAGGGCAGCCACTGCAGGTAACTATCCAACCCTGCATGTCTCCTGAAACAATGCTAGGCTTATTTCTAAGAAGTCTAACTAACCCCGTTAGAAAAACCTTTTTGTTAAGAGTGAAACTCAGATCTCTTTTATCCTGTTCCTTTGGCCTTGGACTGAAAGGGCGCTGGTTAACATTTCCTGAATGCCAGAAACTGCTAAGTCATTCCACACAATGTTCTTATTTAATCCTTATTATTTCCCAGTGAAATACTTTGTATTTTCCGCATTTACAATTCCTCAAATGCCCAAGTTCCTTCCCACCCTTTACACAGGCTATTCTTTCCACCCAGAGCAGTCTCATTCCTCCTCTTAGCCTAATGGATCCCTACTTATCCTTCAAAGCTCATTTCAGATGTTACTTCAAGGATACTTTCCCAACCCTAGAGGTTTTTTTTTTTTTCCCCTATTACATTTTCTTAGTACTGAAATCAGTAGCACAGGAAATTGTGTGATTAGTCATTTAACTTGCCATTTTGCTGAAATGTAAGGTCCATGAGGACAGGAACTGTCTGTGTCATGTTTCTGTGCAATTTGTAATGCCAAGTATGGCTTTGTCCACATAGGTGCTCAGGAAATAATCAGTATGATCATGTATGTTCATGGCAAATAAATGCTAAGATCAGGATTTGAATGCTAGTCTATTATAACTTCAAACCCTTCCTTTAGATTACACCATACACAGAATGTAACAGGAAGTATTTCTTAATGGCGTTACCCAAAAGGCGTTTCCTCAATTCTAGATCATATCTAACTATAAAAGTTATTCATTAATCTGAACACTGGCTAAACTGTGGTTCTGAGGTAAGGGACCCAAGCGTGTCTTTAAAAAGTCCTCAGTTCTGTGCATGGGTGAGCCCACAGCGAAGTCTCACCTTTCTGAGCAGATATTTGAAGAAAGCTGGTGGGAAAGGCTCCAGGACTACATGTGCCATTAGGAAACTTGACATAAGTAGACACATCTGCTGGTTTACCAGTGTTTCTGGGACTTGCTGAGCTGAACACTGCTTGTTTTGTGGAAAAACCAAAACTTGACAGCTGAAATGAAGACCCCTCAAAGTTTTGAGGAACAAACGAAATGCATTGTGGACACTCTGCTCACAGACTTCTTAGGCACAACATTGCAGGTTTCCGATCGGGGGCTATGTTCGGATGAACCAGATTCAGGTAAGATTCCTGGCTTGAGGTGGTGGTTACATGTCAGCAAGATAATCTGAGTATGTTTTCCTTATTTTTCTCTTAAGTTTCAAAAGGCAAAGTCTGAGCTTTCAGCAACACCTGGAGTCTTCAAGGAAGGGGGAGAGATTCCCTCACCATATTGGTGCCCACAGGACATTGAAGTTGTCTTGGTAGGGAACAATGCCAAAATTGTTTAAAAGTCTAGAGAACGTTCCCCAATGTGCATTTTCCTGGTACTAGCCATTCTTTCAGGGAGCTCTGATAGCATAGTGCCTAAGACACTGGACTGCTAACCAGAAGACTGGGGGTTCAAACCCACCAGTCACTCCTCGGAAGGAAGATGGGGCAATCTACTTCCATACTGCCTCAGAAACCCAAGGAGGGGTCGCTATGAGTCAGGTCTGACTCGACGGCACATAACAACAACAACAACAACAACAGCCATTCTTTCAAAGATTGTGACAGTGTGATTGTGTTCCCTCTGTCCTAGGAGAGCCTTGCTCTTTTGACGTGGCCATCATTGCTGGTCGCCTTCGGATGTTGGGTGACCAGTTCAATGGAGAATTGGAGGCTTATGCCAAAAGCGTCATTGCAGAAACCACGCAGGGACAGGTCAAGTTCCCACTCCTTTTTATTGTTTGCTACTCTTTTCTATTTCCGGCTCCCTTTTTCTACTATTCCTATATTACTGTGAATATATACTGAATTTTGTGAAAGATTAGGGCATATATTCATCAAAGTAGATACAGCTGGAATTCACCAATTGCCAATTCTTCAAGAATTAGTTAAAACTTAAGTGAGATTGAGGTGAAAGGCTTGTGGCACAGGCTGACCCACCTCCAAGTTATCTGCACTTGTTTTTCATCAGCTTTGTGCTTTGTGGCACAGAGCATATCTATAGCATTTTATTCTTGGCAAAGTATCTTTTACACATTTGTTTTAGTACTTTTTCTGCACAGGAGCCCAGTTTGTTGAGGGTGAGCATCTTTTTGCCTCTGGGGTCTAGCACTGAAGCAGTGAAATTATATTCAAGAAGAATAGGCAATTGATAAATCGAATGCAATGAAGGATAAGCCCTTATAGCAGTCCACTAAGCATGATCTAAGGAGCTCTGGTGGTGCAGTGGTTAAATGCGTGGCTGCTAAGGATAAAGTAGGGGGTTTGAACATACCAGCCACTCCACAGGATAAAAGACCTGGTGATCTGCTCTCATAGGAAACCCTATAGGGTACTTCTACTCTGTCCTATAGAGTCACTATGAGTCAGATGGACTGATGGCACATAACAACTGCTGTAGGAACAACAAGATCCTTATCCCCTGTTGTGAAGTGTTGTGATCACAACACAAGATGAGAGCGGGAGAGCAAAAGGATTTATTGAGTATGATACCCTAGGAGATAGACAGAATCACTTCTCTAAAGTGGCTGTCACTTCATTATATATATTCATTATATATGTCACATGATTATATAGGGAGATGGGGAGGGGGTTGAAAATCCCTTGGACTGCCAGAAATGTCTTTGTTCTTTTCTTGCCTGGTTACTCCGGACTCAGTGTTCCTCTTCCTATGGTCGTCTTGCTTCATAGGTTACGGTTCTTAGCTGAAACCAGCCGTGAGAGAGGGTTATGCTTAGAAGAATACATAATTGAAAATAGAACTCAGCATCCATAAAGAGGTTGGCTATTCTATTTACTTGAAAGAAAGCAAAGGGAGGGAAAAATAGCAAGTTAAGTCACTATGATTAATGTCTACTTTACTCATACCTGCTAGTCTGTTAAAATTCTGCAGTTTTCAATGAGAGGTTCCTTCTGCCTTCCACTTCAACCTTCCATAACAATAACAAGCCTTATCTGGCTTTTCATTGGAATGCTTTTCTTAGTTATCTAGTGCGGCTATAACAGAAATACCACAAGTGGATGGCTTTAATAAACAGAAATTAATTTTCTCACAGCTTCCTACCCACTAACATTGAGTTGATTCAAAGCTCAGACTCCAGGGGAATACTTTCTCTCTGTCAGCTCTGGATGAAAGTCCTTGTCTCTTCAGCTTCGGCTTTTGTTCCCTGGAGATCTCTATGTTTCTGGGCACCTATCTCACTCCATCTCTCTCTCTCTCTCTCTCTCTCTCTCTCTGTCTCTGTTCACCTGTTTAATCTTTTTTTACATCTCAAAAGAGATTGACTAAAGATACATCCTACACTAATCCTGCCTCATTAACATAACAAATAACTCATTTCCAAATGGGTTTATAATGACAGGCATAGAAACCAAAAACCAAACCCACTGCCATTGAGTCAAATCTGACTCATAGAGACCCCTGTTGGGTTTCCAAGGTGGTAAATCTTTATGGAAGTAGATTGCCCCATCTTCCTTCCATGAAGTGGCTAGTGGGTTTGAACCACCAACCTTCTGGTTAGCAGTTAAATGCCTTAGGCACTGCACCATCAGAACTCCTTAAAGACAGGCATAAACTAAACCAAAACCAAACACACTGCCATCGAGTCAGATCCGACTCATAGCGACCCCTCCTTGGGTTTCTGAGGCGGTATCACTACGGAAGTGAATTGCCCAACCTTCTTTCCGAGGAGTGGCTGGTGGGTTTGAACTTTCAGCCTTCTGGTTAGCAGTCAAGTGCCTTAGGCACTATGCTACCAGAGCTCCTAAAGATAGGCATAGAGGTTAGGATTTACAACACATATTTTTAAGGGCATAATTCAATCCATAACAATGCTGGGTAGTGACATTAGCACTTGAACTTTGTATTGGAGATAAAGACTATATGATACTGTTCTAGGAGAGATTGCCAACTAATATTAATGATAAACCAAAACCAAAACCAAAACCAAACTCACTTCAATCGAGTCAATTCCAACTCATAGTGACCCCCATCAGGTTTCTGAAGCTGTAAATCTTTACAGCAGTAGATCACCCTGTCTTACTTCTACAAAGCAGCTGGATCTTTTTGCTATAAGTGTCATTATTGGATAATTGGCAACACTTGGAAAGGATCTGAGGCCTAGATGATAATAATCCTGTGCTAACTTCCTGGTTTTGGTGGTTATATAAAATAATATCTTTGTTTGTAAGAAATATACATTACAGGGGGTGATGGAACATCATGTTCTCTATTTACTCTCAAATGATTCAGGAGAGAAAATTCTTTGTACTTCACTTGCAGCTTTTCTGAGTTTGAGATCGTTTCAAGGTTTTTTTAAAATCAGGGGAAAGAAAGTAGATTCAGTCATTGGCTAATCTAGGACAGGCCCATGACAAGAAATTAGTATAATAGGTCTAGCGTTGCCTGAATGCAGAGTAGGCACACACCCAAGCTGTATTCAGTAGGGGGAATGAGTCATAATAGTTCAGAGTGGTACTAGAATCAGTCTGGGTTCAAATCCTAGCACTAACACTTACTGATCTAATTACTTATTTCTCTTTGCCAGGCCATTGCATTTTAGTTGTCTAGACTAAAGAGATCTTAGTCTCTTTCAATGTGTAATATTTTCTCAGTGTTTCCTTGATTTTCACAACCTCGACACTTGAAGATTATGGACTAATTATTTTGTATAATGTCCCTTAACTTAGGTTTGTTTGATGTTTCCTCATGGATAGATTTATGATCTGTACCTTTGGTAGGAGCATCACAGAAATGTATTTTTTACTTGTCTTTATTATTCTTTGAGTACTTCCTTAAGATCTTGTACTTTCCATGCCCCAGAGCTGGAATCAGCCATTTCTCAAGGAACCCCTGGTTTCTTTTAATGGACAATTTTTTAGAAACCAAGTGGTATGTACCCTCCCATGTGGATGCCCTTCTTTGCTTGTTTGGGTTTTGACACCCTGCTCTGACCAATGTGAGTCCCCAGTAGAGCTTGCTCAGTCCCACCTAATGGATTCTGGACTATATTATTTGTGAAGGGAAAAGGAAGAGGAAAAGCTAACGTATTTTTTCCTTTTGAGTTTCCCAGATTTGAGTCATTCAAACAATACCTTCACAGTTTGCCCAGTGGTACTATCATGTTGTTAGTATTTTTTATTATGGTAAAATTATATATAATGAAACATTTTCCACTTGAACATATTTTGTAATTCAGTGATGTTACTTCCATTGTAATGAATAAGTTCATCATAATGAATCATAATGATAGTGTGCAACTATCACTAGTATTGTACTTAATATTTTTCTTTCAATCATTTTGTTCATCCTAAGCAATGATAATCTGACATCATAGGTTTAATAGGCTACTTATGTATTTTTCCAGTACCCATTAAAATAAGGTATAATATAAAAATATAAGTAAATATAACAAGTTTTTAGTAAAATAATAAGTTAAAAATATTAAAATGAGAAGTTTATCCATCAACCTACTAAGATTAATTTATATACCACCTGTGGTACATTTTCTACTCTTTCAGAAACACTTGCTTTACTGGATTCCTGCACCTGCAGCATCCTGCACTTTATGAATGATTCTCCACTGATATATCTTGGTCTCTCCACAGGCAGAAGCTATACTGAAGGACATAGTGAAATCTCTGAGTACGACCTGGTGTGCTCAGGATTCCAGCTTAGCTTTTGAGAGAGCCTTTTTGGCAGTGTCAGTTAAACTTCTTGAGTGTGTGGCCCATATAGCTCCAGAAATGGCAAGACAGGTGGCCGTCCCTGTGGCAAATATGATCAATGGGAACAATGCCATCCGGGAGTTCATCCAGGGCCAGGGAGGTTGGGTAAGTATGTTGGGGCCCCTGGCTTTCCTAGGCATTTGCATTATTTTTGTACTAATACCTACAGCTCCAATTCATGAACTTTTTTGTAAGTCAGAAAATAAGCAGGATAACTGGCTTCCTTACTTTGTTAAATATGCCAGGATTTTCTGCCATGCATCTAAATTATCTAGTGCTGCTGTAACAGAAATACCACAAATGGATAGTTTTAACAAAGAGGAATTTGTTCTCATAGTTTAGGAAGCTGGAAGTCCAAATTCAGGGTACCAGCTCCAGGGGAAGGCTCTCTGTCTGTCTGCTCTGGGGGAAGGACCTTCTTTCCTTTCAACATCTGTGAGCCTAATGCTCCTTGGAGATCTCTGTGTGTCTTGGTGTTAGTCTTCCCCTGAGTCTAGGAGGTTCTCAGTACAGAGATCCCAGGTGCAAAGGATGCACTTTGCTCTCAGCTCTTCTCTCTTGGTAGTAGTGAGGTCCCACTCCTCTTTGCTTCTCACTCCTTTTATCTCTTGTAAAAGAAAAGATGTGACTTAAACAAGGATATGGGTTCAGCAAGGTTGTGATTTGAGTCATGCCCTCTTGTAAGGTTGTGACTTGGGACATACTCCACCCTAAACTTGCCTCATTACACAAAATGGAGGATAATTACATCAGATACGGGGAATCATGGCCTAGCCAAGTTGACACATATTTTTATGGGATACACTTCAATCCATTACACCATGTTAAAAGGGAAACAGTCTCAGCTTGGTGGAGAGGGTTGGACTTCGGTGTCATGCTGCTTAAAACATTCACTGCTGACTTTGTAAAGCTAATCTCCAACATTTCACACATAATCATTTATAAACTATGTTGGTAATGGGGTTCTAATCTCAGCCTAGCTTCACTATACTCCCTAATAACTTTGAGTATATGTTGAGGAATTTCAGAATCATCTTAATATTATATAACAAAAATCAACTGGTCTTACCTGCTGTAGTGATATAGGAGGTATTCTAAGCCCATGTCTTAGTAATCACTAGAACATTCATTGTCATAGACCCTGGGCAGGAGCATTCCCCTCCATTTCCAGCATCAGCAGAAGCCTTAGTAAGTGCAGCATTTCCTTGGGGGTACCTGCAGATCTGGGCGTAGTGCCTAAGACATTTGACTGTTAACCAGAAGGCTGGCAGTTCAAACCAAGAGAAGGAAGACTGGGCAATCTACTTCTGTAGAGATACCATCTCAGAAACCCAAGGAGGGGTTGCAATGAGTTGGAGCTGACCCAATGGCAGTGAGTTTGGTTGATTTTGGTACCTACAAATCATTCTCTGGTTTCTTTAGGAAGTTCCTGAAGACTATCCCTTTGACTATTGGATTTTCACTGTTCTTCCTAGGAAAATCTGGAGAGCTGAAGAGATGGAGCTATTCCTCAGCTTGAACATCACTTCCTCTTTGACTGATCTGGTGATTGATTTCTGGCAATTAAAACAAAGAAACAAGTTTTTTTTTTTTTTTTTAATCACTTTCTTCATTTGTACAGAATTTATTTTCTACTGATTGTTAAAGTTGGGAGCAGGTCCCAGAGGCCTACAGAGTTTACACTTTCTGTTTTTATATGAGTTTTAATAAGTCCTATTGAAGTAAAGACTTCAAGACACCAAATAATAACTTGTTACCAGTAGAATTCCAGGCAACAGGGCAATTCTTTGCTGAAGATATTTTGGAGAAAAGAGGAACATGGGAAAACTATTCCTTCAGATTTAGTTCTGTCCTTTGGTAAGGATTTGATCTACTAATTTTTCATTCTAAAGGATTTCAGGGAAATGTCTGGTGTGAAAATCTTATTATTTTAAATTGAAGATTTTTCTTTCAAATTCATACCTAAAATGTCACCTGAGCAGATTTATTTTATGCATTTTAGAGGTTAGAAGGCAAAAAAGAGCAGTTTGTTTGTGTCTTTCTACTAGAAAGTTCAAAGAAAGATAAAACAGTCACTGCATTTTTATTGCTACAAATGCAGGAAGTGCCAGCCCACGTAGGGCCAACTTAGATGAAGCTAGTTGTATTCCACAGTGTTTTACAGAATGTGGTGCACAGACCACTTTTGATCCTATTAAATTATTGATTCCTAGGCCCCATCCCTAGAAATTCTGATTCTTTAGGGGTGGGTGATTACAGTAGGCAAAGGGATCGATATTTTTCTTTTTACATATTTATTTTTTGTGAATATATTATATGCAGCAAAACCTTCCCTATTCAATATAACGATCAGTGACATCAGTTACATTGCTCACATTGTGTCAACATTCTAGTTATTTCTGTTCTAGTTGTTTCACTCCCATTGACTTAAACTCCCTGACCCTCAACCTTCTCCTCTATACTTTAAAATAGTTGTCCATTTGGTCTTATATTGTTGTTGTTATGTGCCGTCGAGTCGGACCCGACTCAGTAGCGACCCCTCCTTGGGTTTCTAAGGCAGTATCACTATGGAAGTAGACTGCCCCATCTTCCTTCTGAGGAGTGGCTGGTGGGTTTGAATCACCAGTCTTCTGATTAGCAGTCAAGTGCCTTAGGCACTATGTTATCAGAGCTCCCTGGTCTTATATAGTGTGGTAGTTATGCTTGTGTGTCAACTTGGCTGGGCCTGGTTGAGTGGCTGGGCAGTTGGTGGTAGTTATTCCCCATGATGAGACTGGCAATCAACTCCATGGTAAGATCTACCACAAGCAGCTGCCTTTGGGATGTGGTCTGCTTCCTGTATATAAGGAGAAGCCTTGGGAATGGTCTCTAGCCTATGGCACGCTTGGAGCTTGCATGTAGCTGTGTCGTTGCTCAGCAGCCTGCTATGCTCTGCAGACCTTGAGTTTTACAATGGACTTAAATTAATGGCCTGCCATGTGGTTTGGTAATATCCGGACTGTGCCTTTTTACTTGTCAACCTTAGGGCTTCTCAGCCTCAGCAGCCGGCAGCTGTCTGACTGAAGAAACGCCTCTAGCTCCAATGGGCTGGGAGCAGGAGGCAGAGCTGGACCCCATGGTTAAGGAGCTTTCACCCAGCCCCTAGAGCCTGGTACTTTGAACTTGGACTTAAAGCCTCCAAACTAAAAGACTAAACTCCTGTTTGCTAAGACCATCCCATTTGTGGTATATTCTTGTCAGAGTGGTACTAGGTAACCAGAACATACAGATAATTTTTTTTTTTTTTTTTTTAAAGAATGCAATACTCAAGTGTGAGCATCTTTACTTTTTTATTTCAGTTTAAAGTTAATTTCAGGGGATAGTTTTGAGTTAAGGTTTGAAGAGTAACTCAGGCCAATAGTCTCTGGAAATCCACCAGGCTCGATAGGTCCAATAAAATGGGCCTACCTTTTTAACCAGGTGAGTCTGGTGTACATTAGTTTTAGATTCATTACTCTTAGAACAGGATGCAGATAAGGTGCATAGGCTAGATCTGGTCTGCTGCTTGTTTTTGTAAATAAAGTTATATTGGAACACAGCTACACTCACTCGTTTACATAATGTTTACAGCTACTTTCATACTACAACGGCAGGGCTGATAGTTGCAGCAGATACTGTAAGGCTTATAAAGCCTAAAAGATTTGCTATCTGGCCCTTCACAGAAAAAGTTTGTCAACCTCTACTCTAATTTTAGGAGCTCTGGTGGCGTAGTGCCTAAGGCATTTGACTGCTAACCAGAAAGCTGCCGGTTCATACCCACCAGCCACTCCTCGGAAGGAAGATTGAGCAATCTACTTCCGTAGAGATATTACCTGCCTGGGAAACCCAAGGAGGGATCGCTGAGTCAGGACCGACTTGGTGGCAGAGAGTTTGGAATTTTGGTTTTAGATTTTTTGCTCTAATTCAAATTGAATAATTTAAATTCTGTTGCAGTCCTGATAATTACTGCCAGTTGTAGACAGACTTTAAACTCATAGACGTTTAACTCTGTCTGACAGTGTTTATTAGTTCTTGCATAGTTTGTGCTTTTTCCAGGGTCTCCAGCAAATCAGAGAGCTCTGTGACTCTTGAGTAGTTAATAGAGGGAATACATTTCCCTGTCCTTAGCTTAACTAAGGGACTGGTAGCAAAGCAGATGGTGTCTAAGATCTGTATATCTCAAAACAATCCTTAATAATCTGAGATTAGTAAACAGTCATTGGATAGAGACTCCTTCATCCATAAGTTCAAAAACCAGACTACTGACCTGACTGTAAAGAACAAAAGCATTGCTACATCTGTTTTTGAGAAGAGGTATTAACAATTTTGGCTAACGTTTAACAAAATTAACCATTTCCCCTCCCTTTGGCTATTCATCTATCTGGCTGCTCTAAACATAGAGAAGTAAAAAGGTGGTATATATTTTTTTACTTTTTCAAGTTATGTTTATTTCTTCTATATCTGGATAAATCACAAAGATTTTTAAACCAGTAATGAGATTTCAAGATTCCTTTTAGTAGAAATAAGCCTTTTTGCTACCAATTAAGACCCTTGATATAGCCCTTTGTCTTTTACATTACTGTAAACTCAAGCTGGTGAGTTTTGTAGTAGGTGACCTCTTGGGTAAACCACTATTTTCCATTTGACTACTGCTATTCTGTTTATGTGTGTTGCAGTGAATTTGTATGGCACTTCTAGCTATGGTCTTTGTGACTCTCACCAGATGAAAGGAGGAATTATGTAAATGTAAGGTGCTTGTGGCCCACCAAGGGGATTAGATACCTGTTAATAATGTAATAGGGTACATGGTCTCTTGGGGGTGGTGGTGAGACTACAGAAATAAGGTGTATGGAGCCATAACATAAGGATTGGTCAGTTTGCCATCCCACTAGGCTTAAAATGAGAGGCAGGAAAAGGGGATCTCACTGCCATCAAGGCAGAAGAACCAGCAGTGGAGTGTGTCCTTGGACCCGAGATCCCGGCACTAAAATAGCAGTGAGATGGCAGAGAGATGGTGGCAGCAGAGGCATAGTTAAAGGAGTTCTGTAACACTTACTCAAGGAGAGAAGAGGCCAGGACAAGTGGCCAAGGGCCAAAGAGAGGCATGACTATGGGCATGGGAAGCTGTCCTGATTGAACAATTGTATCTTGAACCTAAATTGTAACCTGTTACTTCTACAATAAACTCTATAATCATGAATATTGTCTGTGAGTTCTATGTGGCCATTGCAACAAATTACCAAACCCAGCAGAGAAGTAGAGAGCACCCTGGGAGAGATAGTTGTCAGAACTGGCAAAAAGGTTAGAGGGTGGTGGCATATCTGACTTCTACCTCATAGGAATCAGCCTTGGGCTTATGTTGCTGATGGTGATCCTCTCTCCACCTTGTGAAGTTAGAGGAGGTCAGAAGACGCCTCCGCCATACCCTTTGTGGATTCTGAAACAAAATTTTTCTGCCTATACATTTGTATCAAGCCTCAGCAAGTGCAATTTAAATCAAATGATAAATGTCAGAGTCCAGCACCCTCCTCTTTCTCTTTTCTTTCCCCTCCTACCCATATCAGGTCCCTGTTTTAGTCTCTTCTTGACCGTAAAACATCAGGCATCTAGCTTCATGTACACTGCAGTATCTTGAGACTGAGTATACCAGACCTCAAATTTACATGGAAATGCAAGGGGTCACAAATAGCCAAAGAAACCTTGAAGAAGAAGAAGAAAGCAAGAAGACTCCTATTCCCTGATTTTAAAACATACTACAAAGCTATAGTAATCATAACAGCCTGGTACTGGTATAAGAATAAACACAGACTAATGGAACAGAACTGAGGGTCCAGAAAAGAACTCATACATCTACAGTGAATTGATTTTTGACAAGGATGAGAAGTTCATGCAATGAGGAAAGAATAGTCTCTCCACATGCAAAAGAATGAAGCTGGACTTATACCTCACAGCCTATAAGGAAATTAGCTCAAAATACAGCAAGGACAGAAATGTAAGAACTAAAACTATAAAATTCTTAGAAGAAACATAAAGGTATTGTGTTAGGACCCAGTTTTCACAATGATTCTTGGATACTACATGAAAAACTCAAGCAGCAAAAGACATAATAGATAAATTAGACTTTAGCAAAATTAAAAACTTCGGTTCAACAAAGGACTTTAATAAGAAAGTGAAAAGAACCTACAGACTGTTTGGTGGTTAAGTTTGTGTGTCAACTTGGCTAGGCCTGGTTGAGTGGGTGGGCAGCTGGAGTAGTATTCCCCATGATGAGACTGATAATCAACTCCATGGTGGAATCTACTGGGAGCAGCTGAATAGCTGCTTTGGGTATGTGGTCTGCTTCCTGTATATAAGAAACAGCTTTGGGAATGGTCTCCAGCAGAGAGGGATGCCTTCAGGCATTAATCGGTAGAAGAGACCGGCATGAAATGAAGTGGCAGGTTGGCCGGCCCACGAAGCAAGAAAGCCGAGTGCT